AAGAGGATCGCGGCGCAGATTAGCTGAAAGATCGGAACTGCCAGCATAGCCGGTATTGCCGAGCTCACTCCTTCGATCAGCCATGCGTAAACGCACGCGATTCCCGTAAGGCTTCCCATGGCGATCAGCATGCCGACGAGTCTCCAGCGAAGCAGTGCGTGCTTACGCATCAATAGACTGACCGCCGGTCCCAGCGTGACGGCTGCCATCGCAATAGCGGTAACAAAATAGGTTTCGGGAAACTCGATCTGCTCGAGCCGAATAATGGAGGAGACAAATTTTTCTAGCAGCACAGCCACCAAGAGGCATACGCCGAAACCGGCGACGATCGCTTGGGCCACCGTCATGCTTAACGCTCGCGCGGCGTCCTTCGCAATGATTGCCACCAGCGCATCGGCGAAAGCAACCGCCAGCGCGGAGACAATAATGCTGAGTCCGAGAACGTTCTGATCATGACCGTAGGTATCCCAGTCGAAGAACAGCCCCATCAATCGCGAGAAGACAAAGAAGAGTATCGCGGTGACGATCATCCGGACGCCGGCCCAACCGCTCCCGGCCCCCAGCCAAACGGTAATCGGAAGAAACAAAAACAGCCCCGTCACGTAAAGGGTTGAACCGTCGTTGTAGATCGTGCGATACGCAATGAACACCAGCCAGGCTCCAACCCAGACATGGGCCGCAATGCCGGCGGTCGATAACAAAGTCGGCTGCGGAACGATTGGCTCGGTCGAGACGTTTGCCTGTGGGTCGCCTGTTTCGGTTGCGGCGGGCGATTGAAAGGGATTGGCTTCGTTCAACGCATCGTCCTAGTTGGATGGATCCTTGGTCGGTGGGACTAGTGGATTAACGGTCGAGCATGGGGCTGGCGTAGGAAATCTACCACGATTTTGTCAGCAAATCGCCCCACCCCCCGCGAGTACAAGATAGGGTTTCAATGTGCCCGTTCGCTAGCGAAGACAGTTTGATGTCTAGCGGAAAATGGGCCCTTTTCGAGACTCTTCAGATTGGAACCGCAACCATGCCCCGCCCCGAGTGTGACTTGCCTGGCGTATCGGACACCCTTGCCTGGGAACTGCCGCCGACCATCTATCAGCATATTCAACAGCACATTCACCCAGAACAATTTGGCCTGACCGAAGGGGGCTCGGCGCTGCCGGACGACTGGGCCATTCAGCAGCGCGATGGCCATCGCTGGGTGCCGGGCGCGTTCGATAGTATGTTGCAGCATGCGCCTGCCGAAGTGATCGGCGAAGTGAATGAAGAGCTTGTCCAATTGATTCTGGACGACGTCATGCTCGGAATGCCTGGCCGCCGCGAACGTCTTTACGAAATGGTTCGCAACGATAAAGTGGCCGGCACGCTGAACGAGTTGGTGCAAATGGTCGGCGACGCGACGATGCCGGAAGATGACACGCTGTTTGAACTGGCCATGTGGTTGGCCACCGAGTCGCGCGATCGAGAACCAGTTAAGCTGGGCTTGGGACTGCTTAGCTTGTTCCCTCATAAGCCGATCGAAGAGGTTGTGCTCGTACTTGGGCGGCACGACGAGTTCACGCGAGCGTGCGATCTTACGATGCAGCATTGGGATGTTGCGCGGCGAACCGAGGTTATTCGTCAGCTGCTGCCGCACCTTTCTGGCTGGGGACTGCAAGCGTTGGTACAGCGTGTCGCTGGGACCGAGAACCGTGAAATCCAGCAGTGGATGATTCAAGACGGTGGACGACGTTCCGGGTTCTTACGGCAGTACATGGCTCATACGTTGGCCACGACAGGCAACTTGCGCGACGCGCTGCTTTCCAGCGAAGTCGACACAGAAGTGCTGCGATCGGCCGGGTACATCTTGTCCGCGCTGATTGAAATCGAACGAGGCACGCGAGGCAAAGAGCATCGCATTTTGCTAGGCATTCATGACTATGCCGACGGCCCTGTCGTGATGCAGCGATTTATGTTTCATATGCAGAAGCATGCCAGCACGGTGTTCGATTTGAACTTCGTCGGTTCGGTGCTCGGTTTTCTGG